AGATTATGTGCATATCGTATGCACATGAGGTGATGTATAAGAGTGATGAGTGGTGTGTGAGCTCATCGAAGTCATCATGATAGTTGACTGGAATATTCCAAGGAGTGTATGATTCACATTCACGACACAAGCATTAAAACATTACAAATAAATTATACTAAACTAAAAATCAAACACTTTCAGTTTCAAAGCCCAAATAAATAATACAATAATCATAAAATATTTAATAATCTAAAATATTATAGTGATAACAGCAACGAGAGTAAATATCACGACGTTTATCTTACCATATTTAATTACATGTGAATTGTATGCACAGGTATAATAGGGTTACATAACAGACTCGGTGGCGCAACGGTAGCGCGTCTGACTCCAGATCAGAAGGTTGCGTGTTCAAATCACGTCCGGGTCAATCTAACATTTTATATCTTTTCATTTACTTTTTTTAATTAAAAATTTAATTAACTAGAAGAATTAATTACATTGGTAAGTAAAGCACTATTATAAATGTTAGGTAATAAATAATACAATTAATATATCCATATTTTCCATTCACATATTTATCTAATATTTTTGTGGTATTCTTGTAATTTATAAATTAGTATAAAGTGTAATAAATGTAGTTGATATTAATTAATTAATTTTTATAAATATAATTGGGATACTCACATTGTCAGAATACACTACTATATAAATAATATATTCATAGAATACAATATTTCTTAATTATAAGGTAAATAATGTGAGGTAAGTAATAAAAACTTGTTTATTATTTCTAACAAAATCCTGGCTATAAAATGTTTTGAATTAATCATGTTGTTATTGCTAGAATAATAATTATTAATTTAATCAAACACTTTATTATTACTACAAATAATTTTCAATATATTTGCTATTATGTTCAATTTAATTAATTAATGTCATCAATGTATAATTCATTTATTTCATTGCATAATACATTAACAAGATTTGGGTATAGTATAAATATCTATCTGTCTAAGTTATTATAGATTAAAATGATATTATAACTTATAATTGAATGATAATTATAATTTATAAAATTTCGAAATATAATTTTAAAATATGCCCATGACAAATCATAAAACAATAGATATTGTGTAAATAAGTAAATGTACCTACCACTTGATTATTTACTTAGATAATATGAAAAGTAATTTTATATAAATTTTACTATAGTAAAGTTACTTAAATATGTTCACAAACAATTTTTCGCAATAGTAATTAAAATTATTAATTGATTTAATGTAACATTAATTATTGTATTTATAAATATATTTTTATTAACAACCCTATTATCAAAAAGTAACACTAATATTCTTAATTCATGTATCAACCAACAATAACATACACAAAAACAACTTTAATAAATAATTTAAATATTATTTACTAATACAATGACAGAATTATCAACGAGATATAAATTATTCTTAACATTTATTATTTACATCACTTATATGTTTTACGTAAGTGTTATATCTGTTATTATATTTAACTCCAATTTACAATAATATATGAAAACTAAAATACAAACATTTATTTGACATTAAAGTCCATCCAAAATGTGATCACTGGACCCATTCTCCAAGATCTGCAAACTCTATACAACGCAACGGTGTATCAGATATCAAATGTTAACACAGTGTCCGGATTTTCATACACTTTGGGAGCTCTATGTAAATCATAATCAACGGGTCATGGACACTTGCTCGAAAGACACTTGCTCGAAATACACTTGCTCGAAGGACACTTGCTCGAAATACACTTGCTCGAAATACACATGCTCGAAATACACTTGCTCGATGGACACTTGCTCGAAATACACTTGCTCGAAATACACATGCTCGAAGACACTTGCTCGAAGACACTTGCTCGAAATACACTTGCTCGAAANGTCTTCGCAATCGATCGCAGCGTTTGTTGTGATGGACTTTAAGCCCAAATCGGGAATTAGGGGTCAATTCATGGAAAACGGATTCTTTATATTTGACGGCAAAAAGACTATTGAAATGCAAACCGAGTCTAATGTCAGTGAAAACGATATCAAAGATAATCTCACGTTTAAGACACTCACAGATGTTGTCTAATATTGCGGTCAATTAATTGTTATATAAGTAACAATAATTACAAAATAAACACCATGTTATTCTTAAATTAATAAAATTAAATATTGACTGTACAAATATATAATGAAACTAAATTTTAATTCTATTTAAAAACTAAATTAAAATTATTTCTATTTTTCTAAGGAATAAATAATACTATAAATAATTGTTAAATTTTTTTAAATAATAATTAAATAAGATATTAGTACGAAATAAAGTAATAGTATTACAGTAAACGTTATAAATTATAATAACTTATTTAAATTAATTATAACAAGTGTTGAGTGAGTAGATTCGCGAGCGGTCACCAAATATTGTACCCACAAGTAGTGGACAATAAGGGGTACACTTCGTACACAATTAACAAACAATACTTTATTATAGAGAGAAATAAGGAGTAAAGTGAGAGAAATGCCTTCGAAGAGGACTTATGATTGACTGCGATTAGTACAGAGAGTGTGTGAGTCTTATATAGGGTATAATGACATTAAGGTAATGATAAATGATGAGTAGATTATGTGCATATCGTATGCACATGAGGTGATGTATAAGAGTGATGAGTGGTGTGTGAGCTCATCGAAGTCATCATGATAGTTGACTGGAATATTCCAAGGAGTGTATGATTCACATTCACGACATTCCCCCGGCTGTTGTCTGGCCCGCCGATGGAAACGTGGCTTCGGGTGTGAGATGTGAACGCAAAGACAGCTTCGATGAGTTGAGGCGTTAGCTATACCACAGTCTACGGGCGAAGAGTGGTTGACTGTATGGTACGAGCCTTCGTAGACAAATATCAATTTGTCAATTGATGAGCGAATTGATGCTATTCTTCGTTTGAATTCATTTCCAACACGAAGAGTGATGTGTTTGTGAATTGCATCCGATTTCTTCTTTGAAACCTCTGTGGATTTGTCGGGCAATTCTTGAGCGAAGGTTTGGGCGATGATTGAGTCTGAATTGGATCCGATGTCTTTGGATCGAATCGTTAGGATTCGTGCTGAAGGTGATTGCGATGACCAGTGAGAGATCGAGTGGTCGGATACGAAGGTGAAGGGAATGCCTTCGATGTGTTTGTTTATGGCAGAGGCGATGGTCAACCAATTGGCTTTTCCATGAGTTGGTGTGATTGAATGGTTAGCGATGGTTGTGATGATATCGTTGTCGGCGTCTCGCATATGTTTGTCGGCCATACACTTCGTGAGTGTATTACTGACCTGTTCCTGATTTACGCCCCATTCAAAGTCTACACCTTTTTGGGTGAGTCTCGCGATTGGTTCGGCGATAATAGACAGGTCGGGAACGTGTTCCCGAAAGGAAACCGAATTTTCAAAGCGTTGGGCGTTTATAACGACGTCTTCGACCAAAGATATTGGCGAAGATATGGGATGAGTGGCCGGAATCGGCGATTCCGGAGGCGATTGATAGCCAGACAGTGGTGTGGGATGTGTGTGGAGTGGTGTGGTGTGTGTTGACGGATGAACGCCAGAGTTATCGGTGGTGTGGAGAGTGGTGTGGAGTGTAGTGAGTGGTGTTGCGCTTTGGTACGCTTGTGGAACCACTGGTGCCTCCCTCTCCCGAAGAACTGGTGGCGGAGTTCGTCCAACACGTGCTGTATTGGTTTTGATGTCTTCGGCCGAAGGCATCGGCGAAGGGATTGGTTGAAGTGGTGTTGGAATCGGCGATTCCATTGGAATGGAGATGTGTTGTGGTGTTTGTGGTGTGAATGTGAGCGATTGAAAGGGACAATCGGTGCTGTAGTGAATACCAATTTTGCGGTTAAGTTGGCATACCTTACAGTATGGTATTGAGTTTGTGTCGGTCGTTACGGCAACGGCCGGGCAGTGCTGATTATTGTAGTCGTTTTTTATGCCATCCTTCGATGTTTGCGGTTGTAGTGGCAGCGGATCCCAAGGAGCGAAGCGTTTTACCAATCGTTGGCGGCATTCACTCCAAGTGATTGTACTGTAGATGAGGGCAATGTTGTCGGCGTAGAAGTTCAGGGCTTCGCCGGATAAGTAGGACATAAGTTTGATGACTATATCCATATCTGTTGCCAGATTTAGTTCTCGGATGACATCTTCGAAGAGTGGAAGCCATGTATCGATAGACTGATCGTCTGATCCGGTGAATGGTTCCAGCGTTGGGTCTTCGGAGTCCATAGCGAAGAGAAGTGTGTGAAGTGAGGCGAATGATGGTGAAGTGAAGTATTGTTGAATTGAGACGAGTGTTACGGCGACCTATCCTACCGACTGCGCCAAGTGTTGAGTGAGTAGATTCGCGAGCGGTCACCAAATATTGTACCCACAAGTAGTGGACAATAAGGGGTACACTTCGTACACAATTAACAAACAATACTTTATTATAGAGAGAAATAAGGAGTAAAGTGAGAGAAATGCCTTCGAAGAGGACTTATGATTGACTGCGATTAGTACAGAGAGTGTGTGA